TTGGAATATATATTATATATATATCTACTTCAAAACAAATGTAAATACTTGATATCAGGAGAAAAGACAATATGTAAAGGTATTATATATAACAAAAACTTTGTCATTCATAGAGTTCCTAAGGTACAAGCTGTAATACAAACATTGATAATTAGTAAAGCTTAAAATAGCAGTAAAGGATAAGTCTCTAGAATTTACAGTTTCGGGCTGTATACAAGTTTTAGTGAGTTGTGAGCTGGTAAATGATCCACAATTGAAAATTTAATATTAGTCTGGATCTATTTGTATTTCTTCATTGCTACAAAAAAGCATTTTTATAATTTAAGAATTGTTAACTTGAACATAACTCAATGTTAAAACAATACTTCAATTATGTATAATATAGTATTAAAGAAATATTTTATCTTTATCTTTAATGTTGTTTACAAATACTTGAAATATTTTCTCTCATTCTAAGAAAATGTAATTAAAATAAAAAATACCATATAACACCTTTCTTAAGAAAACACAGTGTGATCTCCATAATTTTCGAGAAAGAAAATCACGCAACCTCGAGGCATTATTTTTTGTAACTTGTAAAGTGAAAATTGTAATCGAAATTATAAAGGAAAAATTTAAATAATGCAAAAATAGATATTTTAGCGCATTTTGACCAACATTACCGACCTGTGATTCTCTAAACAGAGGGACGTTCAGTTACATAACGTCCCTAGGGACAATTAAGTTAAATAACGTCCCTTGGGACAATTAAGTAAAATAACGTCTTTTGGGACAAGTAAGTTTTATAACGTCCCTAGGGACAATTAAGTAAAATAACGACCCGCTCTGCAAAAATTCGCGTATTTGCATCTCAAACGATAGTAAAATTAGGGAATTAAAAATTATACCAACCATGAATTCCCACGACCAATTTGGCCTCGAAAACATCCCTTGCGCACTCTTGGTGTTTTGTAGACAAAATTGGTCTAAAGAACCCAAGCTTGGTAAAGTAAAATAATTATAAAAAAGTATTATATTGAACATTGAAAAGGAAAAACAATATTAATGTCCTATTTTTTATAAAAGTAAAATTTAAATTTTATACAATCATAAGTTTACAATTTTTCTAACATAATTTTTAAATTGAAAAATTAATAATTCACTGTCAATGTTCTCTTTTTTAAATGTGGAGTAGACAATTTTCAGATTTAATCATATTCATGTTTACCAGGTTTACCAGGTTTGGCCGGTTTACCAGTTTTACCAGGTTTATCAGGTTAACCAGGTTTATTAGGTTAACCAGGTTTATTAGGTTAACCAGGTTTACCAGGTTAACCAGGTTTACAAGGTTTACAAGGTTTACCAGGTTTACCAGGTTTACCAGGTTTACCAGGTTTACCAGGTTTACCAGGTTTACCAGGTTTACCAGGTTTACCAGGTTTACCAGGTTTACAAGGTTTACAAGGTTTACAAGGTTTACCAGGTGTACCAGGTTCACCAGGTGTACCAGGTTTACCAGGTTTACCAGGTTTACCAGGTGTACCAGGTTTACCAGGTTTACCAGGTTTAACAGGTTTACCAGGTTTACCAGGTTTACCAGGTTTACCAGGTTTACCAGGTTTACCAGGTTTACCAGGTTTACCAGGTTTTCTCTAGGATTGCAATTAAGAACCCTGCAAGGTTTATATTTGCGGAGTAGAGTAAGGTCTGAGACCAGAACCTGAGGACGGACTAACGGTTGGAAGTGAGTCCTCCGGTAGCAGTACTGGAACCACTATCTAACCTTTCACATAGAGTCAATCTGTACGTTTAGCCTTGCAGGTGGAGATCATCTTACCAAGTTAGCTTTACAGCAAACCTTACCAACGGAGTTAACCTTTAGAGCAAACCTTACCAATGGAGTTATCTTTAGAGCAAACCTCCACCAACAGAGTTAATCTTTAGAGCAAACCTCCACCAACAGAGTTAATCTTTAGAGCAAACCTCCACCAACAGAGTTAATATTTAGAGCAAACCTCCACCAAAAGAGTTAATCTTTAGAGCAAATTATCAACAGAGTTAATCATTAAAATTGACTTGAAATAAATCCTGAAAGTTAACCTTAAACATGAAGTTAATCCTTAAACATAAACATTGAGATTAACCTTTACAGTGTTTTCTCATAAAGACGACTCAGTTTAACCATAGTTTCTAGAGTTAAACCTTAATCTCGAGTTAAATCTTATTCTAAGAGTTAAATCATACTCCTATGGCTAAACTTAATTTTGAGTCAATCATTACTCCCAGAGTGAGTACTATTCCGGAAGAAGTGAATTTAACGAACTAGTTTTTACATCCGGATCCTTCAAACTTTTCTTTAGGATTGTTAAGCCTTGCAGTGCTGACTAATGCTCTAACAGTGTACCATTGGATACCTTCCATTTCGAACTTATTGTTCTATTTACTCAGAATATATTTGTCAAAGGGATATTATGATTTTGTGACTGCAACTATTGCTTGCAAAGGAGCTATAATTAAAAACTGTTTAGGACAGATAACGTTTTACTTCAAAAGAAGTCTTAAATGAACTAAAACGTTTAAAACGTTACATCGATATAAACGTTACAGGACAAAAGTGAATATTTGGAAGAAACTCTGAAATCGACATAAATAAACGTTCAGGTTAGTAATATTTGCTATTTAATTTGAAATTAAGGCAGCCATGTTTGTTACATATGGTGGGGTTCATAAAGTTAATTTACTTGATTAACCTTTCTACACATCTTATTAACAATTGCGTTGGGATTTAAATTTCTTAAAAAAAAATTTAAATGATTTTATAATTACTCATCCCATTTTGATCCTAGTAGACAAAAAAATTACTGACCCATGATTTCATCAAAGGAATTGAGTTTTTGCCACATACATATTTTTGTATAGCGCCGACATAAGGATTTATCTCTAATTGGATGATGAGATAGATAGAGCTAGAGATATAGATGTTACCGCTATACAATTTCTGTTGGTTTAGAATAGACACCAAACACATGGCTGAACCCTGATTGGATCAGGCGCTAATGGACTCGGCATACAAGAGTGGTATCATTGCAAATTGATGATATAAACCTTCTGATATTTCAAACTTGGATTATTTGATCTAACAGAATTCATAGTTTGAAATATCAGAGGTCTACAACATCGGGATCCCAAGAACAGGGTCTGGAAAATAATAGTTTGTGGCAAGAACACAGTTCCTTTGTCCATTGTACCCATTTTATCTTTAAAAAGACGATAAAGGAAATGAGTTTTTGCCACAAGCTCAAAATTATAATCCCCATAATCATATGCAACCCGATGTTGTAAATCTTTAATATTTTAAACTATGAATTCTGTTAGAGCAAAGAGACAAAGTTTGAAATATCAAAGGTTTACACCATCAGGTTTAAAGAAATTGGGATTAGAAAATTTTAGTTTGTGGAAAAACTCCATTCCATTGCTCTTCGGATTTCCTTAACTTCCCTCCAAAATAGTTAGTTAGAAAATATTATTAAATTTTGCTAACTGCAACATTTCACTCTAATAAACTCTAATGTAAATGTAATCATTTAAATTCATTCAATCAATGTTTTTGTAAATATAAACTTGAACGTATAACACACACAAACATTCAAATTATTCAACCTAAACTTATTCAAATTAATGTAATTATCTTTTTTTATATCCTTAGAAAATTGATAATTTAAATTGCGTATTTGTTAAGCAGCTATCTTTTTTAGTACTTTCTTTTTAAACTATTTTAACCCTATCTCTGCTGGGGTACTTGAAAACCAGGATATGCTGGGGGGGGGTCGATTTGACCCCCCCCCCTCTAAATCCCATGTTTGATGTCCAAATATGACAAATGATACACCAAAAGCTCTTGTGCTCTACTTTTAGAATCTGCAAAAAAATTAGCAAATTTGCAAAAATTGAATTTTTTATCGCAAAATCCAGTTATATAGTAAAAATGTTTGCAAAAAAAATTTGTCCAAAAAATGAAAAATTATGCATTTTTGAAAACTAAACTAACAAACTAAAAATGTGCAAATTTCCTTTGACAGGTTGCTTGCAAAAAAATTGCAATTTTTTCGCAAAACTTGTGCAATCCGTTTCCTTATGTCAAAGGCTTTCCAAAAAGCTAAATTTTATCAAAATCTGACAAGTGGAAGTGGGTCAAAACAAAGATTTAGTTTTTTTCAGGAAAAAGCAGTCATTCAGGCAGTGTGCCTGAGGACTCAGGCAATTACTACTAAAGCCCGGTTTTAGGCCTAAAGGGAGGGCTTTGGGTATGTAGGAAAAGTCAGAAAATTTCAACAGCCTCAGACCAATACTTTTTGAGTTATGTAAAAAAAACTACAGGGGGGGTCAAATTGCCCCCCCCCCCCCCAGCAGGAATTTAGGGTTAAAAACATTTCCAAATTAGCGACCTGAAACTCTTCAACACTTTTGAATCCGAAAAACGTAATTCTCTCTCCAATATTCAGATAAAAATTCCCCTTTTGTTAAATGTAAAAGGTAATTTTTTGAATCATTTATTTATAAATTTATGGTCCATCCAGAAATAAATTCATTAAATTTTGTCTTTTCTCAGTTTTGAAACCGAAAAATTAAAGCCTCTTTCCTTTTTTGTTTTTTGATCCTTTATTTCGAAATTTATGGTCTATCTAGAAAAAATGCATTCAATGTTTTCATTTCGCATTTTTATTTAATGTCAATTTTGATACAATGTCAACACTGGAGAAATGTCGAGAAGGTTCTTGTTAAATTATAACGAGGGTTGGAGGGCCCACCATGGAATTTCATCCAACATAATAATTACAATAATATTTGTGTGTCGAAATGTTTTCATAACAATTCATTAGAATTTTATCCAAGCGTGATTGAAATGAGTTTAAAATACGGTACTTTAAAGCCTCTTCTCAATATTTAGTTCAAAATCCCCTTTTTTAAGTAAAAATTACTTTTTAACTCATTTATTTCGAAATCATTAATCTATCCAGAAAGAATTTAGTATTTTCGCATTTTTTATTTGGTGTCAATTTTGATACAATGTCAACACTAGAGAATTGTTGAGATGGTTCTTGTTGAATTATAACAAGGGTTGGAGGGCCCACCATGGAATTTCATCCAACATAATAATTACAATAACATTTGTGTGTCGAAATGTTTTCTTAACAATTCATTAGAATGTTATCCAAGCGGTATTGAAATAAGTTTAAAATACAGTACTTTAAAACCTCTTCCAATATTCAGTTTAAAATACCCTTTTTTAAATAAAAACTACTTTTTAAACTCATTTATTTCGAAATCATTAATCTGTCCAGAAAGAACGGATTTAGTCTTTTCGCATTTTTATTTGGCGTCAATTTTGATACAATGTCAACACTAGAGAATTGTCAAGATGGGTCTTGTTAAATTATAAAGAGGGTTGGAGGGCCCATAAGAATTTCCTCCAACATAATAATTGCAATAATATTTGTGTGTCGAAATGTTTTTTTTATCATTTCATTAGAATGTTATGCAAGTGGAGTGGAAGTTGGTTTAAATACAATACTTTATTAGATTATCGAAATTTATAAAAGAGACAATACCACTGTAAACGCTGGTTTATTTTAATTGTACCGGGCCAACTTTTAACCAGCGTTATAGAGTAAACTGGACGTAGAACACTATGTAAGGGAAATTAGGTCAGTACACCAAATGAATGACCCCTCTCTAGTAAAATTCAGTAATTAGAGTCATCCCCAGTTATTATACCATCGGTCATCGGTCATATACTTATTATTTTTAGCTAAAATTAAAATGCCCAGCTCATGCACCTCTGACCCTTAAATAAAAGTAAATTCAACCTAGTCTGACCGCGTCAACCTTGTTGCACCGACTAGTCCAATTGAGTGCCTGCTTTATTGAACCAATGTCCGGGCGATACAGTACATGTTTATGTTTCATGTTATCTACATAACATCATTCATGTTTTTGTTACATTTTATCTACATAACATCATTCATGTTTATACATAACATCATTCATGTTTATGTTACATGTTATCTACATAACATCATTCATGTTTATGTTACATTTTATCTACATAACATCATTCATGTTTATGTTACATGCTATCTTCATAACATCATTCATGTTTATGTTACATGCTATCTTCATAACATCATTCATGTTTATGTTACATGCTATCTTCATAACATCATTGATATTTATGTTTATAAAGTTATCTAGTGTTAGTAAACATTTTGATTATTTCCAAAAAACAACATTTTTTGTTAATTTTCTGTTATTGAATATAGAAAAATATAGACACTACGAACAATAATTTAAAGTGACTGTTAGCACAATTTCACGTCACCCTCTGTTTGAAGATTCGCAAAAATATTCTTGAAACCATTGACTGATAAAAATGAAAAAAAAATTTTGTTTTTATTTTGGCTAAAATTTGATTATTTCTAAATGTGAACGTATTATTTTTTCAATTCTATTACTTGGAAAATATGGATTAACTTAAGTTCTACTTAACTATCAAAACTGCTGAAAAATTCATGCAAATTAAACAAATTATGTTAATCTCAATAATTTTACTTTAACTCGAGGTTTTACAAATAAAGTCGATTATTTTTAGATTTATAAAATATGAATACAGTTTAAATTCTGTCGGAACAGGATTAAATTTGGGGTTTCATAAAAATGTCAAAAACTGACGGAATTTAAGGAAATCTGTTATATCTACATAATAAAACAAGACAGTTGTATATATATATATATAAATATATGTTGCCTAAAGCCTGCCAAACGGCTGGACCGGTTGGACTGAATTTTTTTGTGGACACTCATGGGTGGCCGGGATGTGTTGAAGGCTAAAAAATACAAAAAAAATTTCAAAATTTTAATTTCTTTTTAAACCAGTTCATTTTTGTTTTGCTGTCTTCTTTTTATAGAGCGTTATGCAACCTGACGATTTGAACCTTTGATATTTTAAATTTATATTATTTGATCTATAGTAGAATTCAAAGTTTGAAATATCTAAGGTCTACAACTTTGGGTTGCAAAGATATAGGGATTAGAACACAAGAGTTTCTGTAGCTTATCATGCGATTCTTGTGATTAAACCCTCTGAATATATACTTCCATCATCATTAATCTTTCCTTGTTATTTCCTCTCACTTTGCACTTACACGGTATGTGGTTGTGGGGAAGGGTCGGACAATGTTCCAAGGAGAATAAAACTAAGGATTGACAAAAGTCAGATTCGTTTTACAGAAAATTTTTAAGTTTTAGACTTTTAAAAGGTTTTACGACAATATGAGAAGGTTTCAAGTGACTCAACATTTGAAAACTTTATTCTGTAGAAGTTTGCTTTTCTCGTTTATGCGTTTTGTAAATGATCGGTTTTTGGTTCGTTTTTGCCTTAAATTTTCACCTAGAATAAAACATTTGCATGTTTGATAGAGCAACCTTCTAGAGAATACATTTTTAAAATGTTGGAACTTTCTCAAATTGTCGTAAAACCTTTTACAAGTCTGTAAACATTAAAAGTTTCTGTTAAACGAACCTAGCTATTGTCCATCGCTAAATACAACTAAGGAGAAGGAAAAGGGTTTACATACATTGGAAGCGACTTCAGAGGCGACTGC